CGCCGCTTAGTCCGACAACCTGAACTTTCATGAAGTATTTTGTTCACTTGGAACTCCACACTCTGAGCCGAGCATTAGTGAAGGTTTCATTGTCACAAGTTAACAGGTACACTCCTCGTTCACCCGGCTCTCTGCAACGAGAAATAACAATCAATCAAATTGAATTCCTTAATTTCTTGTAGGCCTTCGACGAGGAGTAACCAGAAAGTTCATCAGAGGAGCTTCCACCGTTGGTTCTCTTTCAAAAATGTTCATCAAGCATACAGTTTATTCAAAGACTGTTTCATTATAATCCGGATATACAGGGCTATTCGAGGCATACGTCAAACATCTGCTGGTTACCTCCAAGATTTTCTACTCTTGAGTACAAAAGTATTATTGTTCGTTGACTGACTCATTTTTTATATTTCCAATTATACTCTTCTCTTCGACAAATTGGATATCATTTACTGTTCTTTAGTTTACACACCTTATCGAAGTTCGTCAAAAAAATTTCCCGCAATCGATTCAACGTGCCCGAGAATGCACCCCGGTCATAACTGGAGTGTGTCTCTCAACACTTCCAACTCTGAATATCTACCCCTTTTGAACGGAATTCTCACCTTCAAATTTGGAAGCTCTTCCCTCAGCTCTCTACATTTTGTTAGCCCCTCTAAACATTTAACTATCAGTTACTTATGAGCATTTCTGTCGGATGTCATTGACTTAAACTGACCATTCTCCAGACTATAATTTCTAGCGCAATCGTCGCCTCACCCAGTCAAACGTACACTCAGGAAGCACTAGACACAAGTGTCGCACTTATTAGAGCTCATCAGTAGTGCATACTTACCGGGCCGTTCGGGCTTTGAACTCTGAACCCATCCCATGGAAGCTGTCTGTGTGCGTTGATATCGAGCCAAACGAAATGATTGACTATCTCCACTGATGGCATCTGTCAATTCCGCTCTGCCCCGAACAATGACCATCTCCGTCCACCAAAATTTGCCCGTTTTACGTAAACGACTGTTTTATGGCCTGGAATTACCTAACAGACGCTAGCGCAGGAATTATTGTTATCCATATACTAGCTGTGCCTGTCTTTTCTCACTCTTCAGACGGTGAACACCTTAACTATGGGAACGCACGAACAGATGTCTCAACAGTAACGATGTCTTCGGGTGTGTAAAACTACCGATGTACAGCACTGATCCTCGATATCGGTTTCATGTTAACTTTTGGATTGGTGGTCGATGTCGGACTCTGCCATCTGTGCGACAAATCGACCTCCACGATGACGGGCGTCACATCATTTGTGGTGTCTCTCCCGGCGAGCCCCGTTCATTTTTAGTGTACTGACGATAACTAAACGGTACCGTAGCGTGAAAATAAATTCCACGTGTCACAATTTGAGCGTTGTGACTAACAGATACTGAGACGAAACTTTCCCAAATCAGAATGAAAATAAACAAGAATGACAAAAGCAGTCTGTTTTGCACGCAAATAAACGCAGAAAATGGTATATTGTGTGGCGAGTATACATAATATATATATATATATATATATATATATATATATGCGTCAAGGGGTTTCGTACAGAATAATTGCTTACATTTTCACAAATTATTACCCCCACCCCCTATATAGGACTCAATTACACCCCACCCCTGTGTGCTGAAAAAAGAGTTTGTAATGAAGCTCCACTCTTTTTTCGGCTCTTAATGGCCGCATTCTATATAAGGGCAAACGTTCAGACCCACGATGGAAGCACCATGCAGCCGCAATATTCTTGCAAGGAACCGTCGACTCAGACAACTGATGCAGTACCGTTTTAAAAGGAACAATGCCGTACGTCCATGTCCTTATTCTGGTGGATTTTGAAGATTTACATATATAGAAGTTTATTCAGACCAGCACCTTGTCTAAGATGTCACATATAAACAAGCTGTTAACTCTAATTGATAAAAGCATAATTTATAAAAAGAACTTTCTGGACCGTTTTAATCAAAGTCCTTAGTTTGATTTTTTATGGTGATTCTTAAACATTTGATTTTTACATCGCGGTTCGCTTTGGATCCCTACGATTTCATTTTCACACGGGTACACAATCTTCCTTTTGTAAATGAATAGCGAAAAGTCATCTGAAAAGAATCTACGACGTGAGCTCATAAAAACCTGACAAGATGAATCCCTGTGAAGTGATGCAATTAGTGTGATAAGTGCACGAAAGAAAATAGGTTTGATGAGAAAATATCGCATGGACAACTATGTGGCCCAGCAACCCGGAATTTCAGTTCATTCTATCGGGTCTCCGAAGGACGCTACGATCCGAATGGTATGAGGTTCATTGAAAATAGGCTACACATAATCTAATGAAGCAGATATAAGATTCAATTGTTCTAGTTTGTCACTCAAGCGAACCCCAGCACTTCTGCATGCGGACACCAGTGCATTGAGAGCTTTACGATCCGTGCAGCCGACATACCAACAAAACCATCGCCATCGGGCCAATGCGTGAAAAGCCTGTATTACTGGTTCCCTTGGGGCCAAATAACGGCAATACTGGATCTGTTCCATGGGAAGACAGCTTGATGCATCAGACGAACTTTTCTCAGCGACTGTCAATCCGTTGCGAAACACATCCTCCCAGCGTTCACGCAGTTGGACAGCCAATTCTAGCAGTATGTCATCGTCAAGACATGATAGCGCTTCCTGATATCCCATGGACTTTCATGTAAATGTTGCCCCGATCTGGAATAGTAACCACAATCAGGATAAAAAAGTCCGGTAAAACCCAAAAACGAATAGCCCATCTCGAGTGATTTCACGTTCACCAATTAAATTAATTCCATTGTTCCCAGCGTGACTATTTTGCTGATTCGCACCAGTTCATTTATACAAGGAAAATGGGTTCGCGTAACCCCGGTGGGCTGAATTCATTTCCGCCTCTTTGTCGAGTTTGGCAATTTGTTTGCAAACATTTCATTACCGGCCCCAGTAGATCAGTTTGCCATTTGCAGATGCCCCATAATCTATGCGGTCGCACTTCTACTATCTGGTGCATATCTGTATTAGGTTGTCCGAGTAGGATAGCCATCTTTAATGGAAAACCCAAAGACCATATAGTCTTATTCTCTATCAGTCACGCGTTTTGCAAAATAGAGAAAACTGCCACGGCATTGGGGGGTTCGCAACTGCTCTGAGTTCTGATGATTCGACTTGAATCCTGGTCCTAGGGCACATCGGGTACGTCATTCCCTGATAACTGTTCGTGTCTAAACGACCTGTGATTGTCCGCAGGATGTGAAAATATGCCTCAAATGTTTTGCAGCACAGCTTGGACTGGCCCTAATCTACAACAGTTTTCCGGATAGGCAAGACCAAGGGGAACAATCAACAATGACTGGTCGAAATTTGAGTAAATCTTTCTGACAAAAAATCTTGCTTCATCTTGTCAATCGTATCCTCAACGCTGATCAAATAATCCAAGCTGGCGTTATCTAATACAGAGCAACGATAACTTGTGGTGTCCCCACAAGAAAACCTCCAAAGTCACAAGCTGTTGATTGTCAATTGAAATTAGACCAAATGTAACACGTGTAAGGGAAATTGACTAAAATTTAACCACCCGATCAGAAATACAATGCAGCTCAAAATGCCAGCAAACTTTCGCAATGCGCGAATCCGTGCAGAAATACCAAAACTACAAAAAACTGGATCATTTATTAACCTAAAGGATGATAAATCCATACTCCGTGTTTACGGGCGAACATCTCAGTTAAGATCCACTTTGACATGCGTAGTCTGTTCAATCACCATACAAGGATACCGATTTTTTGACTGGCTATCACACACCTGTTTCCAGTCGCTGATCACATGGCTTATCTTATGGGTTACAATCATCACGATAGACAAAACGAGTCTCAACTCAAAATGTAACCTGTCGGCATACATTTAAATTTGAATACCTTGAGAAGTGATAGTTCGGTAACAGATTTTCTATGACACATGTGAATTATGGCAAAAAGGAAAACCCCACAGACAAAAAGTAGACTGTAAAAAGAGAGAGTGGGGGAATATCCAGTTTACCGACTCCGTGTTTAAAGAGTGTAAGGGGAAAGAGAGAAAGTAGGAGGGTGTTCCACATTGATAATTACTGTTGCCCTGTTCAAAAGCTGTATGTGTCCAACGGAAGGATAAACTCTCCCCCACTACTACATCTTAGGAAACAGGGACCGAGTGTTAGCGCAGACCAACGAGGGAACAGTTATCTTGGTCAAAGGAGTGCAATTAAAGGCAACTTGCCATCCAGCACGCTTATGAGTTTTGGTCCAACTTGCACAGTGAGAAACTGGAGTCGCACAAACCGATGAACCATCAAAAGATGTCCCGGTACGTTTGAGACAAATACTGTGATCCCGTCAGTAGCGATGGTGCATGTAATTGATTGAAAATGTGAAAATACCCACAATGTGACGGAGAGCATATAAGTGTAGTGCAGCCAATCTAAGGGCGCCTGTTTCTCAGGCTGGTGTCCAGGAGTGATCATCTAATGAACGACGTGCGTCAGAGGCTCAAGGCCACATCGTGTCAAACATTACCTGCCGTGCAGCTTCGACTGATACGGTATACCCATGAAATTTGTCTCGCAAACCGAAAACAGAGCCAACCACCCGATTCTGCTTCACATGCTATCTAGTAGTTCACCTGCAGTTGTGATGTCACATCGACAGCACGAATCGGCCGCTGTCAAAACGGATGTCCGCCCATTTTCCGAGTTGTTATTACAGTCAATGATGCAACAAAATCTCCGAGGTCAATCTGATCAGACAAATTCAGGGTCATTAATCGCAAAACATCTGATGACAACAGGACACATTGTTGACCCGCCTTTTTCGTTCAAGCCTTTGTTACGTAACATGAATCTAAGGCTATTAGCCTTCAGTGAGACGATGTTAAGCAAGTTACGTAATCAAATTTTGTGCGCGCGAAAGTTTCTGCCATTATCAGTCAAAATGCCGTAGCACTGATTCTGATTCCGCTTCCTTGCTTTGGATATCCGAATTTTCATTTCTTAGTCCAAGTGGGCAGCCGAAACACAGCACCTGCCATAGCGGTTGTAAAGACTTAAGCTGGGAGTATATTGCTATAGGTTAGCTGTTTGTAAAACAAACGGATGACACGGCCCTCAATTGGCTCCCATGCGAAATTGATGAAACATTAAAATGACCCACAATTTGCCATGGTAGCTGATGATTGTTCGCTCAAGCAAACTCCTTTCATCTACACAACAAACAGATTGAATTCTTCGATAACAACCACGTGAAATGTATCTAAATGACTGCAGAGATTATTCGTATTACTCACCATCTCTTACTCCTGGCTCAAACTGATTGCGGGAGCCCAGTACGTTAGTCTCGTTTGCACACCTCTATGAAGTAATCTGTTTAGTGAAATTCGAACACAAGTGTATGGCAGACTGAGGAACAGGTGTTCAGGGCTTCTATCACTGGTTTTGTCGCTGCGCTACGATTCCATATCGGGAAAAAATCGCGATTTACAGTGCATGTAACAAGGCAGAGAATAGTTTGATAAAAATCAGTTGACAACGAAACGAGTCCGATGTGGGACAAGGAAAATCTTAAACACGTTTGATTGAAAAGTCCGAAGAACAATGAGTGGCAAAAGAAAAGCTTTGTACATTTACCGCTAATGTAAATCCATTTAGGGGTATTTTCATATTATTTCAGGTAAGCACGTGGTGCTATCGAAAATTTTCGAGGATGGAATATAGCGATGTAACCAAGCAGGACCAAAAATAAAATAAAATGATAAAAACTCACGATGTTACTCCAAGTAATGCAACCTGAATAAGTTGATCGAGTTAGAACCATTCTGATTTCAGGTGTCTTCGTGCAACGCAATATGTAGTCCTTTTATCTTTGTGTGCAAAACGCACTTCGGTCTACCTCCGATCGACCAATTAACATCAACAAGGAGCGTTTAATGAGCACTTTCTGCTTATTCAGCTTGTAGGAATGTGATTATTTGTAAGCGTTTATACTGTCTCCCCTCTCTGAAAAGCACCATAGCAACAGTCGATCAGCACAAAGGCAAGCAAAACAAGTGATTGGCCTAATGATAATACCTCGAATCGGAGCGTACGCTACGGTATTGTCCTTGTAAGAACCAGAACAGTGAGTGGTGTGGCAAGTCATATACGATTCGCAATCCACAGTACAAAAGCGCAGTTATTCAAACAAATGACTCATCGCTAACATCTCACAACACTAACACGATTTACATGAGCACAACAGAAAAACGCAAAAACAGGGTTCATGCATCTTCTCAATTTCTTTGCAATCTTAGTCTACTAAAATTCTCCATTTTCTTTTACACTATACTTTTAACTTCCCTGTCTTTCTCCTCACCCTAATGGACAGGCAAAAGACAGCAACCAAAACGGGTGCATGATTAATAGTTGTAAAAACAGAATTATGACAGTGGTATGGGAAAAGTAATACGATGGTGGAATGTGGCACTTGAGATTCCCCAGGCATCTTCAATTACTCTTTTTCAACTACCGTAACGAGTTGGTGAAGATTATACGGTCTACACACGAGTATTCTGGATTTGGGTGTATTCGGAGTGATACGTGATGTGTTTGGTATCTGACCACTTTGGTTTCCGCTTTTCGATTACCGCACAACATTAAGCCAGAATGATATCTGTACGAGAACCAGTAACGGAAACAAAAGCTTTTACTTCTAACCTATCCGTTTCGTGTTTTAACAAATACGCAGCACTATGTCCAGCCCCAAACATAGAAACCATTTGAATTGCATGAGTAACTTTGAATCCGGCAAGTTCAGAGAAAACTTAAACAACACATGCTTAATCACTCATTAGACGGTGGTGGTGATGGTCAAGCGGTAAAGGTCGCCAAATTATAGTCCCAAAAGATGTGTGTTCGAGTCCAACCACCGTCGCCTGACTTCCCCCATTCTCTGTGATGTATAGCTGTATTTTGATTGGCCGCCTCCTCATCATGAAAATTGTATCGTGTTCAATAAAAGAAAGTAAAATAAAAAGATAAATATAGGGACTGGAAGCAAGAATTCCATGAGTGGGAGATTTCAATGAGTAATATAAAAACTAATTGCTCATTGCAACTCCAGTAATTTCTGTTTTGTTAACAAACCATAACTCCAACAAGAGCACAGGAATCGTGGATCCAAAAACTATGACCAGCGAGCTCACCAGTGCAATACCACCCTTATCTCACACGACAGTGTGGGCTGTAAGATACAATGGATAAAACAAACCGTAGTGCCTGTATTGTACACTTAATCTTGGGAACTATATTAAAATAAGCAGCTTTGACGGCCACCCGATGCAAGTGATTCGTAGTGGCAGCTAGTATGAACTATACGACCGTGAGCAAAGTGGGATGGTATCAGAGGCCATACAGTAATTCAGCTTTCGCACCATCGTTGAAAAACATTGCACACCAACTTCGCTTAGATAAGTGGTTATTTTGCATTGTGGTCTAATGAGCCCAATAAATTCATCCGGAGGTGTTTGTCCAATATCGGGATAACTCTGTTCAGGTCGATCCAGTTAGTCTCACAGATTGCAGAACAAAGTTATTTTTGAATGCCGTTCAGAAAATCAATGAAAACCGGAAATAATGAGTGGTCGGATTCAATTAATGAAATCTGGAG